GAGAGCTCAGGTCAGCCCACGGTGTTGTCCCTGGAGCTGACCGCAGGGCTGGCGGGGCAGCACTACACCCACATGTCTGGCTTGGGCAGGTTTCAGATCCTGGAAGCCCAAAGTCTGGCTCCACACTGGGGTTCCATGGCTCAGCTCTCCAGTGGATCTCCGCCACCATCTCTCCTCTCCTCGGCCCCAACCAGCAAGCTAAGCCCTGAGCCCTAGGGCCTGAGCTCGTGGCCACCAAGAGAGACACATATAAAGCTGACTGTGGCTAAGCGCCCCTCCCCACCCGGTGCTGACTGACAACAGGAGCCAGTTTGGGTTTCTTCCTTTTATTATTTTGAAATTTCCAAAGTGTTTATAATTATTACTTCCTTATGGGGAAACTTTATTTTCTTAAGCAGACCCCTTCAGTCTAGGGCTCACCATCTTTGCACTCTGCCAGGCGCCCCCTCCGGGAACGGATTGTTTCTTTTATCTGCTGTCCTCCTACCCCCAACCCAGCTGACCCCATTTGGGATCCTTAACATCCTGGGTTTGATCCCCAGCATGGCGAAATAAATAAGTAAATAAATACATCCTTAAGAAGTATGCTGTGGCCAGGCGTGGTGGCACATGCCTGAAATCCCAGGGACTTAGGATGCTGAGGCAGGAGGATCACAAGTTCAAGGCCAGCTTCAGCAATTTAGTGAGATCCTGTCTCAAAAAAAAAAAAAGGACTGGGGACATAGCTCAATGGTAAAGCACCCCTGAGTTCAAACCCAAGTACCAACAAAAGAAAAAAAAAGTGCTGTGAGCATTCTCTGAAGTCATTAGAGCTCTTTTGAAAAAATGCCATTTCTAATAATTTTATTATATTCCAACACGTAGGTACACCATGACTTATTAAATACATTAAATAATTCTTCTCTTATCGGGCATTTAGGCTGTTTCCTGGTTCTCATTATCATAAATAATACCACTGTGAACATCTTTGGTCATACAATGAATTTCTTAAGGAAGATTTCTGGGCACCGATTACTGATTCAATGCTAGGGACATGTTTAAAACCATTCAGGGAGTGACAATAACTTTATACACATTTTTTCACGTGATACCTACATTACTCTCGAAGCTTCCCAGACAAGGAAGCTGGGGCTCAGAGGGGCCAAGGTTGCACATGTCACATAGGGACAGGGAAGCTGGTTAGAAAAGGGACTTTCAGGCCCACCTCAGGCCTTGCTCAGTCTGTGACTGAAAATCACCTTGCTCTCCAGGTGATTTTGATGATGTTAAACTCAGAACCCTTGACAGTCTCCAGGTTCCTCTTTCAAGGTCCAAGAAGTGGAGAGTGAAACAAAGCTGGATTGTCCCCAGCCAGCTCAGGGCGGCTGCAGGGTGAGTTCCCTCCCAGAGGTCCATCCCATGAACGCATGTACCCGGCCTCTCTCTTGCTGGGTGCCTGTGGTCCCAGCTACTTGGGAAGCTGAGGCAGAGGATCACTTGCACCCAGGAGTTCAAGGCCAGCTCCAGCAACTCAGTCACACACACACACACACACACACACACACACACCCCAAAGGTCTTTCTCCCCTCTTCACATACTCGCCAATATTCTTATTGTTTTCTTTTTCCTTTTTTCCTAATTGGATAAGTGAATCACCAACATTTTCTTTCTTTCTTTCTTTCTTTTTTTTTTTTTTTACAAAGGTCTTGACATATCATATTTTCACCAACATTTTCAAAGTGCCTTGCCAGGCCTAGTGGTGGTATGTGCCTGTTGTCTCAGCTCCTTGGGAGGCTGAGACAGGAGGATAGCAAGTTCAAGGCCAGCCTGGGCAACACAGGCAACATAGTGAGACTCAGCTTCATAAAGAAACAACAACAAAATTGGCGTATGGAGCCCCCTGGAGAGGATCTGTAGCAGAAATATGTAAAGACACACAAATCTTTTTCCATAGAAACATCCCCATGAACATCTATGTTTAGTAAATCAAGATAACTAGGAGATGGAATGGAAAGAGGTTGGTCAAGGGACATAGCATTTCAGTTAGCAGGAATTAGTTCAAGACATCTACTACACATGATGACTGTGGGTTAAAAACAATGTGTGTTGTGTTCTTGAAAATCACCCGGAGTTCCCCAATGGCTTGAGAGGCTGAGGCAGGAGGATCACAAGGTCAAAGCCAGCCTCAGCAATTTAGGGAGACCCTGTCTCAAAATTTGAAAAATTTAAAAATTAAAACATTTTTTAAAAGTGGGCTGGGGATGTGGCTCAGTGGCAAAGCGCTTGCCTAGCATGTGTGAGGCACTGGGTTCGATCCTTAGCACCGCATAAAAATAAATAAAGGTATGCTGTCCATCTACAACTACAAAAAGGAAAAAAAAAAGTATATGGGATGGGAAGTACATGAGGAGATGCATATATGTTAATTAGCTTAATTTAGCCATTCCATAATGTATATTTATTTCAAGAAAACATGCTGTACACGATGCTTCCTTTCTTAAAATAAAATTGTAATTACAAAAATTAATTAGATTTTCAAAAGAGATAACAGTATAACAGGCATTTGTTTTGTTTTGGTCCTGGGGGTTGAAGCCACAACCTCATGTATGCTGATCACATGTTCTACCACTGAACCACATCCCCAGCCCTTTTTATTTATTTATTTGTTTTCTGACGCAGGATCTTGCTAAGTTGCTTAGGGCCTTGCTAAGTGCTGAGGCAGGCCTCACATTTGCGATCCTCCTTCCTCAGCCTCCCAAATCACTGGGATTACAGGGGTGGCCACTATGCTCAGCTATATTCCAAGTTTCCCCTAGCAAGCTATCCCCTAGGCTTGCAGCCTCATTTTGTTTTATTTTCCCAAAATAATCCAGGCATCAATATCCACAGCGGACTCCAAAGGGATCAGATGGCCCAGACGTGAACAAGGCTGCTTCCTGATAGGAAAAGTAGACCTCCCAGGACCATTCCTCCCTCAGTCAGGAACCGGCACTGGCCGCACGCTGGGCCCCGCACAGTACAGACACATCCACTAGATGGCAGCATCTCCCAGCACAAGGGCTAGTGAGGCTGGTTTTCTGCAGTTGATGAAACCAACTACTGGACCCTCTGCGAATGCGCCAGGGAAAAGACAAGAGGCTTCCTGTGTGGGCCCATCAGCCCTGCCAGGGCACTCAGGGAACTTGGAGATCCTGGAGCACCCTCACCAGCCACACTGTCTAGCGCTGCCCAAGGTGGGTCTCAGGACCTGCGACCTCATCCAGGACCTGGTTAGGGATACAGATTCTTTGGTCTCATCCCAGAGCATCAATCAGAATCTCTGGGGGCAGGCCCCCCAGGGTGTTTTAACTGGTCAATCTCTGGTTGATTCAGTTGCTTATGGAAGTTTGAGAAGCACTTCTTATCTTCAACTTCCTCATTCTAGGAATGGGGAAACTGAGACCAAACAAAAAGAAATGACTGTCATATGAAAACTTGACCATCCAAGGACTCAGGTTCACGGTGTTCCTTCTTTCTTCCCAAATTCATTCCTTTGCTCATCCTGCACCCAGGCTGCCAGCGCACACTTCAGACTGCGGTGGAGAGCCGGCCTTGGGGGTCCTCAACACTGTTCCTCATAGCTGGGGTGTAGGATCAGGATCCTGGAGGCTGCGGTATCTGTTAGATCTCATCCCACTCGTTCTGGTGTCTCCACTCTGCCGCTTCTACAGAAGTCAGACGGAGGTGCAGGAGGTCCCTAGTCTGTGTCTCCCAGCCTTCTTTGTTCTCTCTTGGCACACCAGGGCTCTCTATCCCATTCCTCAATTCCTTGCTCTTGGTAGAGGCACAAGAGCCGAGGCTATCATAATGCATTCCCCCACGGGGAGTTAATTTATCGAATTAAAAGTGCCCCCAGCACTAGGTTTGCACCAAAGGGGCCAAGGCTAGGCCTGGAGCAGGGCTTCTCCACCTTGGCATAGTAACATTTTGAGCTGGGTGAGTCTTGGCTGTATCAGGGTTCCTGCACGCTGAAGGATATTTAGAGCATTTTTGGTCTCTGCCCACTAGGCAGCAGTAGAAACCCCCCCCTACCAAAAATGTCTCGGAGCATGGCTAAATGCTCTGGGTAGAGTCACCAAGTAACTTTCAATTTCAGATAAACAAGGAAGAACTTTTCCTTTGGGGTTTTTGTTTTTGTTTTCGGTACTGGGGATTGAATCCACGCTTAACCATTAAGCCACATCCCAGCTCTTTTTATTTTGAGACAGGGTCTTGCACTCACTTAGGGCCTTGTTAAGTTGCTGAGGCTGGCTTTGACCTTGTGATCCTCCTGCCCCAGCCTCCTGAGCCCCCGGGATTACAGGTGTGCACCACTGAGCCCGGCGAAATTTGTTTTTCATTTGATTGCATAGCGTTTTGTTTTTGGTTTGGGGCACTGGGGATTGAATTTAGGGCCTCACACATACTAAGCGTGTGCTGTACCACTGAGCAGCGCCTCCCAACCCCTCACATAGCATTTTTAAAAGACTTGACTTTGTACCTGATGTTCTAAAATTAAATTTGAAATATCTGGCAGTTGGGTACTTCCAGGTGGAGGAGCTGAGGTACCTGCTCACTTAGGCACCTGTAGTCCACTATTCCCCACAGTCCCCACCACTCCCTCTTGTCCCATGCCGGTACCCATCTCCCATTTATGGTATCTGCCTGGCCTCTGTAGGCATATGCACTTCTAAGCTCTGGCCTCATAGGGAGAAGGTCCTGGGGTGAAAGGAATGTCCTTTTGGGTGAATTAGGTAAGGCTGGCCCATTATCCCCATTTTGCAGATGAAGAAACTGAGCTCTGGCAGGCTAAGTGAATTGCTCAGTGTCGTGACTTCCAGGCCAGATCAGAACCCAAGTCCCTCAACTGCACAGCGTGGGCACAGGCCCCACTCCGTCCACAGTTCCTTGTGAAAAAGAACTCAACTACTGGGGCAAGAGCATTGTGGCACCAGGGACCCAGAGGGGAAGTGGTAACAGGGACGGAAGGACCTCCTCACACTCACTCATCTGTGACAAGTGCAAATGCAAGAAAAACCTGGCTGAAGGCGGCAGCTCAACGGGACCTCTGGACAGGACCCAGGACCAGGACTTGGGGGTGAACAAAAACCAGCTCCCAGGGTCCAGCCACCAGCAAACGTGAGTCACATTTTTAGCTGATTTATTTTAGACATCTTTCTCATCCCAGAAAGCCTGTGTTCTTGCCTTGCCCACTCCCTCCAGAATCAGAAAAGCTGGGTGGGCCTGTCTGGGGCAGGGGGTGAGGTCACCTCAGGATACCTACAGGGTTGGTGGGTCCTCTCAGACAAAATCAAGAGTCGGCACGGACTTTTGTCTCACCAGACCCTCACATACAGCTGTATGGTGTGCTGGGCATGCCTCCGAGGGCCTTCGTGGTTGGATTCATTTGATCCTCATGATTGTCCATGGTGAGCACTGTCTCTATCGCCCACTCTGCAGAGCAGGGCTGCCACTTACCCGAAGTCACACAGGCATCAAATAAGGGCATCAGCGCGGTGATCCCAGCTACTTGGAGGCTGAGGCAGGAGAATTTCGAGTTGAGGCCAGCCTGGGCAACTTAGTGAGATCCTGTCTCAAAATAAAAAGGGCTGGGGGGCTGGGGATGTGGCTCAGTGGTACAGCACTTGCCTAGCACACGTGAGGCACTGGGTTCGATACTCAGCACCACATAAAAATAAATAAATAGAATAAAAAGTTATTATTTAAAAAAGGACTGGGGATATGACTCAGTGGTAGAGCACCTGGGTTCAATTCCCAGTACCAAAAAAAAAAGGGTACTGATGAGTGCACCTTGGGGCCAGGGTCATGATTGAATCCTGACCTCGCCATCAGTGACTATGGTCTCAGGCAAGTCACTCTGCGACTGTCCCACTCAGTTTCCTCTTCTGTGAAAGATGGAACTGAGAACATCCCTCCCAGGCAGGACGTGGGGCACAGTTAAGTGATGGTGGCAGTGGGGTGGGTACCTGTGCTGGACTCGGTGATGGCTGTGGTGGAGATTTTGACCTCTCCCCATCTGCCCTTGCTGTGGATTAGAGGTGAGGATAAGATGAAGCCACCTCTCCCTAGAAGGGGTGGCAGGTAGATACCTTGAGGGCACGAAGCCCGGGACTCAGGGAGCCCAGGGAGAGGGCCTGGTCCCAGCTCTGTAACCATTTCATGGCTCAAGGGAGGTGGCCCCCTCACCTGCCCCAAGCCACAGGTTCGGTCTTTGCCAGTGAGCTGCCCCTTTTCCCTTTGGCCAGTCAGTGTGGGCGAGATGGCAGCTGCCTCAGCCGAGCAGAGCCTCTCGCACCAGCCTCTCCTCTCTCCGCCTGTCTTACTCTTGCTCTGGGCCCTCAATGGACATCGAACCTTTTATTTATTCCAATAGAATCATGTTCAGTGGGACTCTGGGACTTCATCCTACTGGGCTAATGGGAAACTGAGCCTGGGTCTAGGCTGGACCTCCTTCTGCCCAGCCCCAGCATCAAATGCGGACCCTTGGTGGATGCCCATTGTCCTCCTGGGCTCGATCCCCTCCAGTCGGGCTGTGCCCGCTTCCCAGGCTCACTGGGGTCCCCCACTATTTGCCAAGACTTGAGACTACTTTGCTTTGTGCTTCACCTTGGAGCTGTGTCACCCAGCAACTCCTCCTGGAAGACGAGGTCCCCTCTCTCCAGGGAGCAGAGCCCGGTCCCCAACACTCAAGGGGCCCTGGCCAGTGGTCCCTCCCTGGTCTCAGGGCAATCTCTCCTTTCTCTTTGGTTGCCCTTCTCTCCCTGCCCCCTGGCACGCTGGCTTGGCCCTCCCACTGAGCTCGGTCTCACGAAGGACAGGAAGAGGGTTATTTTTCAAATAGCTTCTGCTTTCACCTCAGCACCTACAAAAATGCCCCGAGACAAGAGATACAAAGGGCACTCTTTGAAGGGAGGGTGACAGCCCTATCTCATAGATAAGGGAAACCAGGCTCAGCAGCTGCGGTGACTTGGCCAGTGTCACGTGGACAGAAAAGAGAGGAGCCAGTGTGAGTGGAGACCAGCTCCCAGAGTCCAGGGCTTGTGCTGTCAACCGCTGGGTCACTCCAAAACCCCAAATGCCCTCCCCAGTTAAGTCAGGTGACCTCGGGCAGGTCACATCACATTCTGAACCTCAGAGACTCCAACTCTAGAGTGAATCTCTGGGAGGAGGGCTCGTTTTCTTCTTTCATGATCATGGATGCTGGGTCTCAGGGGGTCTTCCCCGCAGCCCGTCCCTGGCGAGGCGAGAAGCTCACAGGGGCTTCAGCCTCATCCGGGGCCAGACAGCTGGTGGGTGCTCTGGATCCAGAGCCCTGCTGCACCGTGGTGAGAACACCTGGCAGGTGCTAAAGGTGCCATTCAGGTTCAAGGAGCAGTCACTGTCTTTACTGTCCCTTCAGACACCACAGCACTGACATCCCGAGACCCTGAGCCTAGCCTAGGAATGTGACTGGTCCTCCTCCCAGCACCGGACAGTCTCATCCCCAGGCACCTTGCGGTCTGCTCCATGCCAGGCCCCGAGGCTCTGGTCATTTGACTGAAGATCCCATGTTTCCACCAGCCGGCTGCCTGTGCTCAGGGACGACTGGCATTATCTTATTTCATCCTCACCCAGGACCTACCAGGGCATTTCCTTCTGCCCCAGACGTACACAGGGGAATTGAGGACTAGCCAGAGGGACTTTTTTGCCAAGACCAAAGAGCTAGGGCACACAGTGGGAGGCACAGCAGGGCACGGAGCCCCCACCTCCGCTCTGGGGCTAACCCAGGAGTGACCTACCAAGATCAGGGTCCCAGCGTCTGCCATCAGAGCCCAGAAAGGGCAAAAACACTTCCTTTTCCCTCCATATCCTGGGGAGAAAAAGGCTCCACCAAGTGCCCTGTCCCTACCCCATGCAGTGAAGACCTCAAATGCCAAAGACAGAAAGTGACAGGGGCGGGTCTGTGGGGCGGATCTGTGGGGCGGATGAGAGCAGGAGGAGCCTCGTGGTGGTGCTGGAGCAAGGCTGCTGGGATCCCACACAAACAGGGAGGAGTGACTTCACGGGCTGGGTGTCCTGGGAGCTTTGTGGCTGCTCCTCTCCCCTCCTCTCCTTCCCACTTGCTCCCACTGCAGGGGAGGCCTGGGGTAGTCTACTTGCCCAGTGTACCGGAGACAACCCCCCCACACACCAAAATTGCTGCTCTTGGTGGCTCCCCTGTCTCCCTAGGGGTTGTGGCCACCCCATAGTTCTTCTTTGAGAACCGCAGCTGCATATGTGGTGCTGCCTCTGGTGGGATGCTCTGAGTCTGTCCTCTGTGCTTCCCTGTGGGTGGGTTTGGGTCCTGGGCAACCCGATAGGGCTGGAGGCCGGGTGGGGGTGGGGGAGGTGGGATCAGACCCTTGCTGAGAACCAGGAAAACTAATGCATGAGAAATGGCCACCAAAGGGGGGAGGAGCTCAGAGATCAAAGAAAGAGGTGGACAGATCCAGGACTGCCGGAGTGCAACTCATTAAGGGCTTACAGAAGCCTGGCTTGGGCGTCAGCAAGGCAAAAACGTCAACTAAGAAACAATCCAGGTGGCAGTGACCAGCACAAAACGCTCGGCTGGCTGTCTTAACAACTTCGTTTGTCCTAGAGGGTTTGGGATGGGTGCCAAGGTTACCTGGCGGACAAAATGGCAAATACAACCAAGATGGTTGTAGTCATGTCAAGACGGATCCCTACAAGGGAGGCACAGGAAGCTGCCTCCCAACTCTCAGTCCTCCCTCCCACGTGGCCAATCTTAATACCCACTGGACAGATGGGGCCACTCAGCTCAGAAACAACAGGCAATGACGGACCTCAGAGGAGCCCAAATCCCTTTCTCCCGTCTTTCCCACCACAGAGAGATGCTCCATAAGGTGTATATCATTCGAAGCCCACGGCACCTGTTGCCAGTGCCTAAAAAATCAGTGAATCATTATTTTAATATTTAAACATGTGGGGCGGGCCGGGGGTGTAGCTCGGTGGTAAAGTGCTTGCTTAGCCTGTGACGGGCCCTGCCATCAAAAGGTGAAAAAAAAAAAAAAGAAAGATATTTTGTCAATGTGAAAGCTTACTCACAAAAGCCACAGCTAAAGGTGACCAGACAAATCATCGCCTCATGACTCAACCAGGCGGCTAATGATTTGCGCCCTGGAGTGGCTTTGGTTTGATCTGACCTCCCATTGTTTGTATTCTTGGTTGTTTAGCTTACACCCTTAATGAGCCAATGATTAAAGGCAGGAAGCACAAGCAGCACAGGAACTCTGAGGTTGAGAATTCCAGGAAACGCGAGGGAAAATGGCGATTCCTTTGGAAATTCGCCTCAAGAGTCATGAGTCGCACTTCTCTGATCGTATCATATCCCCGGTATCCGGACATAGCAGGGAAATTCTAGTACTTCGTGCAATTTTCAGGATTGATCTATATTTTCAAGGCACACACAGAGGTGCTCACAATTAGGGACCAAAGGCCGACTTTAATCTCTCCCTGTAACATAAAATTCTTTTTCAAAAGGTATAAATTAACTTTTTCAGCAACAGATACAAAAAATTTTTTTTTGTCAAACCCTTGGGACATGAAGGAGGCCTCTCTCCTCAGTTATATTTCAGTCCACTGTAGTATACGTTTAGTCCCAAATAAAATGTCACCTTACAACTTGTCGAGCAGCCCTGCATTTTCTTCTCTTAAGAGTTTAAGTTAAACCTAACACACGTGAACCTGTAAAATGCAGAGAGGCCAAACTTTGGCTTCATAGGGCATGTATATAATTTTAAGGTTTAAAACAAATGCTGAGGAACCAGAAAGGAAAAATGCACTCATTGACACGATCATAACAGCATATCCCTTAATGACTATTAATGGAAGTGCCAGTCAGGGACAGTGCTCTGCATTTTCTATTTCTGCATTTCCATTCCATTTAATCCTCACGACAGCCCTGAGCAGAGGTACTTTCATTATGCCCATTTTGCAGATGAGGATACTGAGGCTCAAGGAGGCAAGGCCATTGGTCCAAGAGACCACAGCAGTAGTAACAAGGGGCAGAATTAGAATTCACAACTGTGCTCCAGGCTGCCTCTTAAACCTCTTGTCTACTTCTTTCTTATTCTTAGTTGATGCTTAGCTATGAACCACAGAACAGGAGGAGGAACAGGAAAGAACAGGAGCAGGAACAGCAAATTGAGATCCAGGTGTTTCAGAAACACTAGATCCCGATGTAGAGAGCCAGTCAGCGAAGGCCAAAGGGGCCATGAGACGGAGGAAAGAAGCAGACAGGTCCAAGATGGCACAAGTGCAGTTTATTAGGGACTTCCGGACAGGCGTGTGTCTTGGGTGCCAGCAAGATAGGATCCCTGTGTCCCAAAGCAGAAGGAAGAGGTTTATATTCTAAGCCTGACGAAGGTGGGCCACAGCTCTCTGGAATGGACCTGGCCTTTCTCAAAAGTTATCAACAGGTTCAATATCCATTAAAAAACAGTGTAGGTGTGAATGGCCAGCACAGAACACTCAGTTGACTCTCTTTGGTTTTGGTTTCAGGGTGTGTGTGTGTGTGTGTGTGTGTGTTTTAATGGTGCTGCGGTTGTGTTCTACCATTGAGCTACCTCCCCAGCCAACAGTGAACTAGCTTAACAGCTTTGTTTGTCCTATAGGGTTTGGGATGTGTGCCAGGGTCACCTGACAGACAAAATGGCATTTCAGCCAAGATGGCTGTAGTCATGTCAGCTGGAGCCCCATACCAGGCCACCTTGCAAGGTAGTGAGACAGCTGGATCTGATCCCAAATCCCAGGCCAGAGATTGTCACAGGCTCCTTCTTCATGGTTCCAAGAACAAAAATCCAAACAGATCCACAAGTGCACATTAATTCTGTGATGAAGGGGCAGGTGGCACATGCAGGAGGACTGACTCTCACCCAGATGCCTTGCTCATCTTCCCAAGGTGTGAGCATCCACTCGAGGTTTAATTCACCCATCAACCTCTGTCCAGCGACCTGGAGCATCCTTGCTGCCCTGTCATCACCTCTCCTAGATCTTAGCTACCCAGAGCCCAGCGAACCAGCCCCTCCACTGATCCTGATTCCTCACTAGGTGGAGAACGGGAGGTGATAGCCAAGCCCTCCCTGTCTTGCAGTGAAGATTTTGAGCTAGTGCACAGTGAACACTCATCCAGCTGCTACTATGTCATTGTCACCAGGCTGTTTCAGGGTGAGTCTCCCTCCAGGGCTCTGCACATGGGTTCTGCAGTGTCCACTTCTGTGGGGGGAGCCAGCCTGACTTACAACCTCCCTCCCCATGCAACCCTACAACAAAGCAGGATCGTGACTGAGGTGGGGATCTGGCCAAGCCAGGAGGAGGCAGATCTGCCTGGAGGGAAACCACAGGCCACTAAGAAAGGCCACCGCTGGGCTGGGGCTGGGGCTGGGGCTCAGCGGTAGAGCACTCGCCCAGCTAGTATGAGGCGCTGGGTTCAAACCTCAGCATAAAAACAAAGAAATAAAATAAAGGTATTGTGTCCAACTACAACTAAAAAAGATTTTTAAAAACTTTGAGCATTCTTTTTTTTTTTCCTGGTGCTGGGAATTGAGTCTGGAGTGTGCTAAGCCTGCGCTCAGGCATTTTTAAAATGCATACTTTTACTCATAAACTACCTGTGCTCAGTCCTCTTTTGTCAACTTTGATAAACGTATCATAACATCACCTGGTACTCCAGAGAGATAATTATCATTTATCAATTACAAGTAAAATTTAAAAAAATTAAAGAATATATAATATAGATTTAAACAGAGACAAAGTGTGTAATAAGCATGTTGCAGAGGTACCTGTCACAGAGGAAACTCCTGCACACAGCGGCAGACTCAATTTCTTCTTATACTTTAACCACAGCAAGAGTTGAACGCAGGGCTGGGGATGTGGCTCAAGCGGTAGCGCGCTCGCCTGGCATGCGTGCGGCCGGGGTTCGATCCTCAGCACCACATACAAACAGAGATGTTGTGTCCGCCGAGAACTAAAAAATAAATATTAAAAAAAAATTCTCCTCACTCTCTCTCTCCTTCACTCTTAAAAAAAAAAAAAAAAGAGTTGAACGCAGAAGCAGAATCCAGCTGCCTTCTCCTAAGCCAGGCAAGAAAGAGATTCAGAGTTATTTTCTATTAATGTATTTTTCAAAAAAAATGTTATTTCTATTAACAGAAATAGGCTTGTTAAATGTAATTTTTTTCATTATCAATACTTATTGGGTGCCGATCATGTGCAAGGCACTATGCTAAGTGCTGGGGAAGATACAAAGATAAATCCAATAGCCTGTCCTCAAAGGGCTTACAAAGATAAATCCAATAGCCTGTCCTCAAAGGGCTTACCGTCTAGCGTGGGAGCCTACAGCCTGGAGGAAGTAACTCAGTGTACTTAACTGCCTCCCTCGACCCCACCCCTCCGGACTTTCTAGACTTGGTTCCTTCCTTTTACTTTTAGTTCAGCAGCTTCACATAAGAAGCATTAATCTGGAAGGTTTTTAAAATGCATCCTTTTCCTTAGAAAAAATCCTGAATATTTATTGCGCTTATGAAAATCCTCAAACATACACTTTTATGGGTCTTTTTTCCTTGTGAATCTGTAGTTTTGAAGTAAACAATTTTCCAAATTGCATGAAAACATGCCATGACTTTTTGCAATAAATCTTTTAAACCATTGGCCGTCGCGTGTAAATGTACACAGGCTCTCTGCTAAAAGCAAGGAAAGCTTTTGAAATGGACAGACGTTATATTTATAATCAAAGTTCACAGCTCAAGAGGTTTTTCCCCCATAAATCCATTACAAGTCAATGCAGAGTAGTATAAAATAACACCCCCATTAATTTATTTTTTGTTTTTTATTTATTTTATTTTTATTAGATACACATGACAGTACAATGACCTTGACATTTCATACGTTTGAATCAAATGGAGTATAATTTCTCATTTTTCTGATTGTACAGTTTGCAGAATCACATTGGTCATACACACCCCCATTAATTTATACACCCCAACTCCATAGCTTTTAATTGGCTGGCCAGATCCACCAAATAACAGGAAAGGAAAATCAAAATAATCCATTTCCTATTATGCCCTTTGGACTTTTGAAAGCTTTTTGTTATTTTCCTTTCAACATAGAGAAACTAAGTGTAATCAAGTATGGAAATAAACATGCTGATTTAGCCAGTTTGTCTAGGTTAAACTGCTAAAGGATGCATGCTACATTTTAAAATTAGACCCATTTCTAACTGTAATTACTTTAAATAAGTATGCATTAATTATTCTCTTTGCTCAGAATAATCTCTAAGCTCAGACATTTCTGGTCTGAGCTCAGAGATTTTTAGGTTGTATAAGTCTGAAGCCTTGTGTCTTTGTAGAAGCTTGACGAGACCTCTTTAAAACACTGAGGCCAAGGATATAGTTATCAAACTGAACACAAGTCAAACTTTTTAAAAGTAGAATTATGGCAAACTTATAAAACTGTGCACACCCAAAAGACGAGTTCCTGAGACGCAGGTTCCTTATTACCATGCTGGGGTATTCTTAATTCTGAGCAGTTTCCCTTAGTCGAGTAAAAATGAAAAACTTTATCCACATTATGCTGGTAGGGTCTATTTCTCTCCCTCACCAAACTCCCAAAAATTCAATGCTTGTCAAATAAACAAACTAGAACTCAATTTCAATATTGATCTCTGCTAGAGTAAGAGATCCACTCACTCTAAAGGTCTAGTGCTATTAAACCAGAACCGATGTCTGGTTAATAGTTAAAGGTATTTTTAAATTACCCATTTGATTTTACAATACTGATAGGCGTCACCCACATCAAAAGCACTGGGGAATTTTAAGATGACAAAGGAGGCTGAGGCCACAGTGGGGGTTCCAGGCAATGATGCCCTCCTCTTCTCGGCCAGCTCCTCTGCTCTGGCTGACCACATCACCTCCAGACTGGCAGGACCTTCTGAGAGCTCATCAAAAAGCCCCTCCTAGAGGCACACCTGAAATTCCAGCAACCCCGGAGGCTGAGACGGGAGGATGACAAGTTTGAGGCCAGCCTTAGCAAGACCCAATTTCAAAAGGAAAAATAAAAAAGCACTGGAGAAGTCGCTCAGTGGTAGATTGAATGCAGGGGCACTCGGCCACCGAGCCATACCCCCAGCCCCATTTTGTATTTTATTTAGAGACAGAGCCTCCCTGGGTTGCTTAGCGCCTGGCTCTCCCTCAGTGGTGTAGACCCGCAGAGTCTATTGCCAATATTGGAAAGAAAGAAAATCCCGCCCTGGTGAGAAGGGACTGCTGCCCAGCCATCGGCTGTAGTTCCTCACAGGAGTGGAACTGAAGTCAGATGTGTTCTTGACCCAGGGCTCCTGTCATGATGGCAGGCGGTGGCTGCTGACTGCGCCCCAGCTGGTCACCGCCAGGCTTCCACAGAAACAGGATTCCCTTCCTCTGCCTTCCGGTCCCAGCCTTCCCTGCCACCTCTCCTTTCCCTCTTTGACCCTCCCCCGCCCAGCCCAAGAGCACAACAGAGATGACCTGTCACTCTCACTCATTATCAACTAGCAAACAGCTTGGGACCCAGAGGAGAAACCTGTAACCAGCATGCCTTTTACAGAAAAAAAAGTCTGCAGCCGTCGCTGAGGAGGGCTCCCTGGCCCGCCCCTGTGGAAAGCATGGCACTGTCTCGATTAATCCTTGTGCCTCGCCACCACCAAGGAGGCAAGTACTGTCTCTCGGCTGTTCCCATTTTGCAGATGAGGAAACTGAGAGAAAGAGGTGAAAAAATTGAGCGACTTTACCGGAGGGTACAAAGCTAATAATACTTGTCGGAACCACGACTCCAAGGCCCAACAGCCCAGGCAGATCCTCAAGGTCAGGACTCTATTAGGCTGATGGGGATAGGACAAAAGTCTAGGGAGGCGTGAGGGAGCAAAACTGGTTAAAAGAAGAAAGAGTCAAAAAAGAGAAGAGGGATGTGACCTTCCCCTGGGAGTAAAGACAACACATGTCTGTGTCCACTGTCTGGGCCCCTCGCCTGCCTCTGCATCTTAGGTTATGACAAGGTCAGAGTGCCGCTTGCTGTGGGTGTCTGGGTAAGTGACTTACCCCCTCTGAACCCCTCTGCCTGAGGAAAGGTGCTTGGTTCACTGGACAGCTGGGGTGTAAATGATCAAGTGTGATATGGTCGCAGGCTCCACTAGGCTGTTCTCTGAAAAGGAAGTTGCAGAAGCACAAAAGATAGCAGAAAGAGGAAGAAGATGTTTGAAAAGTGACAAAACCATCCTGTGGGCAGATCTTGAACCAGTGAGTGGATTCACCAAGCGTCTGTCTGGAGACAGAGAGGGGAGAATGGAGAAAATGAATCACAGGAAGGGATCCTGGGGCTTCGGAGGAATTAAGCCCAATGATACCAGCGAGTTTCTCCATATCTCTTTTTTGTGTGTGTGTTGGGGGGGTACCAGAGATTGAACTCAGGCATTTGACCACAGAGCCACGTCCCCAGCCCTATTTTGTATTTTATGTAGAGACAGGGTCTCACTGAGTTGCTTAGCGCCTTGCTTTTGCTGAGGCTGGCTTTGAACTTGCGATCCTCCTGCCTCGGCCTCCCCAGCCGCTGGGATTACAGGCACCCACCACGGCTCTGGGTGTAAGTTTCTTTATATTTCTAGGCTCCAACTTCCCCATTTTTAAAATATGGAAAATAATAATAAGGCCTATTTGCAGGGTTGTTTTGAGGCTTACAGGAGGCAGTACGAAGACAGAGCTAATTCAATGCCCAGGACCCATCACCATAACCCTCCTGTCCTCCTTTTGGATGGCAGTGTGGGAACGAGACAGGGAAAGGGCTTCTCTGTGGAGCCACCTGGTGCCAGAGCCAGGCTCCAACTGTGAGCCCCTGATTCCTCCTGTGGGCTCACACATTCTCTCCAGTTCAGCCAGACAGCCCCGTATTGCTCAATCATTTTAATGATTATTTAAGCTGCATGGCAAGAATGCAGGAGAAGCCAGATGCAGGGGCGCAGGCTTGGGGTAGGAGGACCATGAGTTCGAGAGAAGGCTCGAGGAGAACTACTACCCGTAGAACTTTGTGCAGATTAATGCTGGAAGATTACTAAACTCACAGCAGTGTGCCTGGTGACAGTAGGTGCCTAATGAAGAGCAGGAAATGCTCACTAGAGTTACTTCATAGGATCCTCATAGGATTCTGTGCTCAAGTCATTCTGGGAACGAGGCAGATAGAAAGACCCCCACTTGCTCCGGACTGACGCCCTATCACCATAGAGGCCAAACCATCAACATTTGGAAACCGATTTGACCTGCGAGAATAAGCCATCAGTAACAGATCAAGGTGACCTTCTGGACCTGCTACTCAGCAGCCCTGGATGCTGTCTATGGACAGCCCAGGAAGGGTGTCCTGGGCTTCCTTCCACCTTTTTTCTTTTTATAGTACTAGGGACTGAACTCCGCGCCTCAAGCATGCCAGGCAAGGACTCTCCCACTGAGCTACATCCCTGGCCCCCACAGTTCATCTTCTAGTCCCCTGGTTCTTGGTTGCCCTTGATTACAGTTACAATAATTTTTTTCTGGGGTGTAGGCTGTGGTCCTTGACCCACATTTCATCCATTTTTATATCTATGTCTGTATCTGTTTCAAAGCCACCTACCTCCTCAGGCTGCAGATGTGGCTCATGGTAGAGCACTTGCCTGGCATGTACACAGGCCATGGTTTTGACTCAGGAGGCTGAGGTAGGAGGATCGAGACTTTGAGGCCAGCCTCAGCAATTTAGTGAGGCCCTGTCTCAAAGTAAGATAAAAAAGGCTGAGGATGGAGCTCAGGGTTAGTGTGCTTACCTAGCATGCCTGAGGCTCTGAGTGGATCCCCGGCATTGAGAAACAAACTCAGAGCCTCCCTGAAAAATCCTGCTATTTTCCTACCAGGCCTTGGTTCATTTATTCATTCGATAAATCAATTTAAAAGTATTTAAGTGCTTGCTTTTCCCAGTCTTGCTGCTGGCTCAGGTGTTGGAAATCCCAGAAGGAGTTTATTAAAGGGATTGATTAGGAAACCCAGCCCTGGGGCAGCTCCTCAGCTCTGTATTCAGGGTCTGTATTTGGCTTTCCATTAATTCCCTCTGGGACTTATGTCACTGAAGAGATTTCAAGTTCCTTCTCCCCACGATGCTCTCCCTCCTCCTCTGCCGGATCCACCTGAAGAGTGACTGTCCTTGTGGTCTGTCCCCAAGGCCAAAGGAGTCTGGAGAGCTGCTGACCTTCAAGGTCACGTCCTGCTTTAGAGCTCTGCTGAAGGAGGACTCCTGAGCCACAGCTGCCGTGGGCACGGGGTCCAGGAGTGGTAGCTCGGGGGCCATCTAATCACCTCACCTGGCTGGGCTGAGTTCTGCGGGCACACGGCTGCTTTGCTCTGGCCCCTCCTCAAAAGACCTCCACCAAGTCAGTGGAGGACACCTATAATCCCGTCGGCTTGGGAGGCTGAGGCAGGAGGATCACAAGTTCAAAGCCAGCCTCAGCAACTTAGCAAAGCCCCAGCAACTCATTGAGACCCCCTTTCAAAATAAAAAACAAAGAGGGTTGGGGATGTGCCTCAGTGGTTAAGTGTCCTTCGGTTCAATCCCTGGCGCTAAAAACAAAAAACAAAACAAAACAAAAGTCCTCCTCCAAGAATCAAATGTGGGCCTAACCTTGTGCTAGGCAGCATCTTTTTGGGAGAGAGGGGTATGTGACAACTTCACTTCCAGACCCAAATTGAAAGTTCAAGATCAGAACCTCATTGTCCAGAAAGCAAGGTGCAGAATGGACACAAATAATACAAAGTGGACAGAGATCCAGGGGGTAGGACTCCTCAAGCTTCGGCCAGCCGTGGGAGAAACCAGGGAAAGCTTCCTGGAGGAGGCAGGGGGCACTTTTTTTTTTTTTTTTTTTTTTTTTGCTTTGTTTTGTTTTGTTTTTGTGGTGGTGGGGAAGGAAACCAGGACCTTGTGCATACCACCACTAAGTCATTATCCGCAGATAAAAATAGATAAAATGTGGGTCAAGGACCACAGCCTACACCCCAGAAAAAAAATTATTGTAACTGTGATCAAGGGTAACCAAGAACCAAGGGACTAGAAGATGAACTGTGGGGGCCAGGGATGTAGCTCAGTGGGAGAGTCCTTGCCTGGCATGCTTGAGGCGCGGAGTTCAGTCCCTAGTACTATAAAAAGAAAAAAGGTGGAAGGAAGCCCAGGACACCCTTCCTGGGCTGTCCATAGACAGCATCCAGGGCTGCTGAGTAGCAGGTCCAGAAGGTCACCTTGATCTGTTACTGATGGCTTATTCTCGCAGGTCAAATCGGTTTCCAAATGTTGATGGTTTGGCCTCTATGGTGATAGGGCGTCAGTCCGGAATAAGTGGGGGTCTTTCTATCTGCCTCGTTCCCAGAATGACTTGAGCACAGAATCCTATGAGGATCCTATGAAGTAACTCTAGTGAGCATTTCCTGCTCTCATTAGGCACCTACTATGAACCAGGCACACTGCTGTGAGTTTAGTAATCTTCCAGCATTAATCTGCACAAAGTTCTATGGTAGTATTTCTCCCTGTTTACAGGTGATGAAACAGAGCCTCAGAGAAATGCAGTAACTTGCCCAAGGTCACACAGCCCATTCATTGCAGAACCAAATTTGAGTCCAGGAATGTCTTGTTTCAAAGTTCATGACATTGGGATCCAACATGCTGAATTTCTAGGTGAAGACCCTAGGAGTCACCCCCCTTAACCCACCTGAGAAAAGAGAGGCTCGGAGTGTAGAAGGGACCTGCCCAAAGCCACTCAGTGACAGGGCAGGGACAGAACCCAGGAAGAGGAGACTGGGGAGAGCACATGCTCAGTGTGCCACAGGCCCTGGGTTCCGTCCCCAGCACCAAAACCAAACCCAAACCCAAACCCACCCCCTCACCCCGCGTGAGGCTGGTGCAAGGAACCTCAGCTTCCCACGGCAGGGTGGGGGTTCCAGGAGGACTTGACACACAGTCTGCAGCTGCCACCTTCTTTCACTTCACGTTTTCACTTCAGGTCAGAAAACCCCCAGGCACACCTTCTCCTGAGCGTTTCCCAGGCCTCAAGCCTCCCATGCCCAGCTCCCAAGGCTCGGCCTGCAGGAGCCCGGTCCAGGCTGCAGCCCCCAGACGGCAGGCCCAGCCTAGAAGCCCTCCTGGGGAAGGAGCGCAGGTGGTTCCTGGCCTTTGACTTTTTGTGAGTGGAGAACACACTCAGTTGGTTCTCTTTTAATCTCACATCTGTACAGCACTGGATCACAAAATGTTTTTGCATACATCAGTGGCTCTTTTTATCAGGTGTGTCTCAGGAGGGAGGGGGCTGAAGCGCCAAACCTTGGTTCTTGTGTCCTGATGAAAGAAAATTTAAAGTTCAGCAAGACACTCGGCGAGGTGGCGCATGCCTGTAATCTCAGGAGGCTGAGACAGGAGGATCGTGAGTTCAAAGCCAGCCTCAGCAAAAGCAAAGTACTAAGCAACTTAGTGAGAGTTGCTAAATCAAATAAGATATAAAAATAGGGCCTGGGGATGCAGCTCAGTGGGCAAGTGACCCTGGGTTCAATCTCTAGTACCACACCCCCGCCCCCGGCAAAAAAAAGTCCAACAGGAGTATTTTATCATGAGTGAAAGTAAAGTAAGTCTCCAGCAAAGAGCTCTCTCAAGAGCGAGA